GGGCCACATGAGTGAAAAGCGCCAGGTGTTTGTGCCCTGGGAGGGCTTCACGAGAACATCAGTGGACGCAGCTCACCCCAGCCAGGGCGACCTCACTTCGTATTTGCGTCTTCCACACAAACAGCAGGTCTGATCAGTCAACATCTCCACTAGCAAGGGCTGTACCCTGACTGCCCTCCTTCCACCTCCAGTTGTCTTTTTCTCAGAAGTAGTCTCATTGGTGGATCGGTCTTGTACAGGCAGGGTTATGTCAGAGGGCTTTGCTCGCTTTTCACACATAGCTCATGCAGCGCCTGCCCTGACACCCTGCTCGGCATGACAGATAAGGCAGTCGAGCTCCGGCGCTTGGTAGTGAGGCTGCTGAGACCCCCAAACTCAGCGACCTGTGAAAGGTTTACGGCAAGGCAGCGGCAGAGGCAGAGTCCCCGCCAAGCTCCTGATGCCAAGGCTGCAGTAGGTCTGGTCCCGGCATTCGTGAGGATGCTCTCGGCGGGGACCCCGGGACTTCGCCAGTACACACGCTCACCACCCCCACCCCACCAGCCCGCCCCCAGACATCACACTGCCCGGCACCGTCCTCTTCTGCTCTCCGAAGGTGAAGAGGCAGAGAAGCACCAAGGGTCAGCTCTGAAAACCGCCTCGCTGGACAGCAGCGCTACTTTCTTACTTCCCTGGAGTATGTGAAATGCGTCAGAACCACTTCTTCAGCAACAGGGTCTGCGCCTGGCAGGCTGGCCGTGGCCTGACGACACGCGGGGCGCTACCCTGGGCATCAGGAAGAGGTCACTATGGCCACAGTTTCACAGCTCAGGGCTTCCATTACCTGTGGTCAACTGCGGGGTGAAAATATTTGATGGACAATTCCAGAAATAAACAATCCGTAATTTTAAATCAGGCTTCATTTTGAGGAGCACAACAGGCTCCCCACCTGGGGTGTGACTCAACCCTCTGCCCAGTTTGTCCACACTGTGTCCAGCCAACTGCTTGCTGCAGAGCCATCTGTTACTGGACGGACCAGGCTCAGGTCCAAGTAGCTCTTCCGCCTGACAAGGACCCCAAGGGTGAGAGTGCTGCCCACATGCAGGTGTAGGGAGCGAGAGTGTCCCAGAGGTGGGGGTGTGAATATAGCGCGACCCCGGGGAGGTGTTACAGAGCCCTGGCGCAGCGCGCTGTGCGACTTTTCTACCCCACGGCCGTTGTTGCTGATCTCACCAAGCCCAGTCCACGTACTTGATGCTGTCACACACATGGAGGAGGAAGGCCACGGCATGCACCGGGCACAGCGGTCCCCAGAGCCCAGGTCCCTGGCCGAGGAAGCCCACGGCATACACCGGGCACAGCGGTCCCCAGAGCCCAGGTCCCTGGCCATCCTCCACAGCTGGGGGCGGGGCACCGTGTGTCAGTGGAAATAAGGCAAAATACGGAAATAAGTCGTGTTGTGCTGGTGTAGGAAACCCTCTGGGGCCCCCTCGTCCATCTTCCTGACTACTTTGCATCACAGGATAGCAGGGAGCACCCGACGTCAGGTGCGGGGCACAGAGTGGGGTCTGGGCAGAGTTTCCTGATGTCAGCAGGGACCCCAAACCGAGGGGCATGGGGGCTCCCCAGCACAGCTGCTCCATTTCTTTTTCTTTTTTACATTTTTTGCAGTAACCCACTTCTCCGATCACCCTCACTTTTACAGTTTTGCGACACTTTCTCTCCAGGACTTTAAGGTAACCTGGCTCTGCAGAGAGATCCCACACAAGGCTTTGGCAGTGCAGTAAGGAGGGCTGCAGGGATGCAAATGCAGGGCTGTCATTTCTTCTAGACAACACCAGCAGGAATGCAGCCGCTTGTCCTAAATATTTCAGTGACATAAAGGCAGCAAAGTGTAACTAAAAAATTCAAACTCTTTTCCTAGCAAGCCAGAGTCTGAAAGAACCAGCAACACTAATGTTCATGCACTTCCGAAGAGGAAACAGAGAAGGACAATGTGGCTACATAACGGGTTCTGCAGAGCAGACAAAGCCTGAACTCCAGGGTGGACCATAGGGAGGCCTCTAATTAGATGTGCAGGCTCCTCCGCACAAGCACAAGCTCAAGAGTGATCACTGTTCTTCTCTGCTCCTCAAGAGATGGGTGCAGTTCACCAACTGCATTCTTTTTTTTTTTGCCTTTTTGAGACAGGGTCTCACCTGGAGCTCGCTTCCTAGCCCAGGCTGGTCTCGAACTCCCAATGATTCTCCTGCCTCAGCCTCCCTAGTACCAACTGCATTCTTTTTTTTGGCAGAACCAGGAATTGAACTCAGGCCCTTGCGCTTGCCAGGGAAGTGCTTATTCCACTGAGCCATCTCCCTGGCCCACCAAATGCATTCATAACGTGAGTTCAGAGAGCACTGAGTGTCAAGAAGACAAGCAGAACCCAGCGGGATGACAACGCGAGACGGATCTCGGGTGCTGTCACGGTGTGTCTGATGACCCCCAGAGCCTCATGGGAGGGTGGTTTCAAAGCAGCTGGATCTAGAGTTTGCAACCGATTCATGGTCCAGGGCTGGGATTAGAGGTGTGAGTGCTACACTCTCCCTGGGGCAGGGCACCTGCATAAGACATGAGGGCAGAAAGAGGCGTGCCCTCTCTCCCTTCCTTGCTTATGCTGCCTTCCTATGAACTGCTCTCACTCTTCCATGACATCCTGCCTGGTAGCCAGCAACTATGGACTGAAACCTCCACAAACTGAGCTAAGTAAACCCTTCCCCCTTTAACGTTGGGTGCCAGGCATTTTTGTCTCAACAGGACAGATGCTTTAAGGTGGTTCCGCCTGAGCTATATTCATCTACACCTGCATCTACACTGAAACTACAAGCTGAGAGGTCCCCTTGATACCTTTCAAGGAAATGATTAACCCAGACCCAGACGTACATTGGAGAAGCCAGGGTTGCCTGTGGACCCTGCCTCTTCCTTCCCAGCTTCCTTAGCAAGCGGATGGGGACCCTGACAGCCTTCTCCCAGGTGCTGGAGGAGCTAAGGGAAGTGCAATCCCCAGAACAGCCAATGCCAGCCCCTGCTGCCTTCTCCCTGCTGAGCAAGCCCTTCGTGTGGAAAGTGGACATGATGCCACTGGTTACTTGGGGACAGGGTCAGCCCATCTCTCCCTTCCAGGGCTTTGGTAGCCAGAGGGCTGCACTTTGTGTGCCGAGCTGACTACTCAGATCTTTTGGTGACATCAGATCCATGAGCTGGGGACAGGCTGACAACCACAGGATGGGGTACAGGCAGGGCACCCCCAGGACCTCCTTCCAACACTTACTTTTGTCAGCTTTGAGCAACCAGTTTTCAAGGAGCTTTACTGAGATTTGATTGATATATAACACAGTCAGATCTAAAATGCAAGTGCTGCATGCCATGCTCCACTTGCTGCCGTGAAGGCTGTGGTAAGCCTAGTTTTGCATCATTAGTTATTAAGAGGCTATCTCTGATAATGAAATTATAGGGAAAATGACCTTAGTTTTAAGCTCCACACAGAGGTATTTTATAACGTGGGCCACTGGGGCATAGTTATTGCTTTAAAAAACAAACCTCATGAACTCACGCCTGGGTACAGGAGGTAACAACCCACAGGAGATAATCTAAAGGCTAGAAACAGTGCACCCTAAAGGACCAGCAATCTTGTCTATGGATACAAAATAGTGATTTATTTACTACCGTGTGCTACTTTTGGATCATATTCAGGTCTTAAGGTTTCAGAAATTCAATCCTCCGGGCACAAGCGGAGCACAGGACAAGCTGCCGACGCAGCTTTGCCACGGGGCAGCTGGAAGCGCGGGCTTGGACGTTTGGCTTCCGCAGTTCTTTTTTTTTTTTTTCCACGTAGCAATAACATGAAGTTCTTTGTCTCTGTCAGGCAATATCTATGCTGTGATTTAAGCCGCACAGAGCAAGGACACCACGGCATGCTGAGTTGTCACCCCACAGCTGCCCAAAAAAAGGGGACTCACCCCCACTTTATGTAGCTCAGAAACTTGGGAGTTAAACACAGCACCTCGCTTTGCCCCGAAGGCGGCCCTTGCCACCTGGCTCCAGTGGCTGCTGAGCCCCGTCCTTGAAGCCCCCAGCACGAGCCGCTTGCTGTCCCCACGTGTGCCTGCAGCCTCTGTTCTGTTCTGAGCCCCAGCCAGAGGTTCGGAGGAGCAGCTGATCAGGGAAAGCCAGCCTTCTAGGGACACCCGCTCCCTTCTGAGGGGCAATTAGCCCAATTATCCACCCCATCAATTCAGTAAGCAACCGCACCACGAAACCTAAAGCGAGTCCCTGGGCACAGCGGTTGGAGAGCCTCAGGGTTGGCATGCTGTGCCGAGAGGGCGAGGAAGGCCACGTCCCCCTGTCCCTGGCAGCTGCCTGGCCCTGGCTGTGGACAGGAGACCAAGGAGGTTGTGTTCCAGCAGGCTCACTGTGGGTGTGAGTGTCCCACCTGAGTGAGAGGGACCACACGGCTCGAAACAAAGCTGGTGGACAGGGAACTGCCTGGCTGTGTCTCTGGGACCGGGTTCCTCAGATGTCCCCACATGGATGCTTTTCCTAGAGGCCTCAGCATAGCAGTCACCAGAGCTACCAGGTCCCAAGTCCCTGCGCACCATGTAATGACACTGTGCCGCATCCAAGCGGACCTGGGGCTGAGCAGAGGGGCCTTCACTGTCACCACTGCTTTTCTGTGTCATGTGTGAAGGTCTTGTCTCATTTGCTGTTCTCCTCTAGGCTGGGAGTGCCAAGTGAAGGGGCTGGACAATTCACCTCCCTCTGGGCCCTCACAGCACGCAAGTGAGTGAATGCGCAAACGAGCGGCAAGTGAAGACCAGGCACAGGCCCTGCCTGCACCTCCAGGGAAATGAGCACCAACGCAGCCGTTCCGGCAGTCGTGGACAGGGGACCCCTCGCCCGGCTTCTCGGTCTCTACCCTTCTCCCAATCAAGGAGCCCACGAGGCTGTAGCCCCCTCCCCACCGCCCGTGCCGCCATCCTCACCTCCAGGAGCTCATCTCCCACACGCAGCCTCCCGTCGGTAGCTGCAGGGCTCCCTGGGTGGATCCCCACCACGAAGACGCTCAGGAGGGACCGGTCCTTGTTGCCCGCCAGACTGAGGCCCAGCCCCCGCCTGTCCTTCTCCAGCTCAATGATGTTCAGCTCGCCGGGCAGGTCTGCATATCTCTGCCTGATTTTTTCTGTGAGGAAAAGAGAAAGAAGAAAGTGGAAGCAGCTAGCAAACAGCCAGCTCTGCAGGAAGAGGGCAAGGCTTCCTGTGCAACAGCGCGCCCCACCTGGGTGCCCTTAGGTGGCCCTGAGGACCCGGTGCCGCGTGGTCCTGTGAGGAAGGCGCAGCTGCAGTCCTGCTCTCCCAGGTCTCCAGGCGCGGCCCTCACAGTCAGCACAGCGCTGAAGACCCCGGCCCTGCCCATTGCAACCACCAGGGAAGGAGAGCGCGCCCTGAGCAAGGCCCTGCCCCGGGAGAGGGCTGGAAAGAAAACCGACACTCTAAAGTGTAACGGCGCCTACATACGTACTGGTTCCATACACACTCAGACGTGCCTTTGCAGTGCGGGCCAACGTCAGGGCATGTGCACCTTAGGGGATCCCCAGCCCAGCCCCCAGCAGAGCCTTTAAGTACACAAATGGTGCAAAGCGGTCAGGAACAGCAGTGTTTTGCCCCGGGCTCCACTCATCCCAAACCAGGTTTCTCTGTCCTCACTTCCTGGTGCTGGGGAGACCAGAACCCTCTTTCCACTTCTGCCCCTGCTCTGACTCTGGTGGCTCAAGCTCAGGCCCAGGCGCAGCAGGCGGGAAACAGCTGCCCAGTGGAAATGTGAGAAAGACTCTGACCACTGTGGAGTTTGCCCAGTCAGACGCCCCACCTGCGCCTCGCTGAAGGTCTCTGAGACCAGCAAGGCCAAAGCTGAGCGTGGAGTCCTAAGGCCATGGGGAGGAAAGCCAGGCCACGGTGCCGCTCCACCAACCTGAAAGCCAACGAGGAATCAGCAGTAAAAACGGATCCACAGGGCTGGCAAGACAGGTCAGTGGGCTAAGCGCCTGCTTCGGCACAAGCAGGGACCAGGGTTTGATCCCGTCCTGCATGCTGCGCTGGCCCCACCCCGGAGGTGCGCTGACCCGGTGACCATACTCAGCCTCCTCCTGGACTTTCCTGGACCCGCAGGAGGTCCGTGAAGGGATGGTCTCATGCAAAGAGGCTCAAGAGCTCCGACACAGCCCCCGAACACAGAGAAATACACGGCTATGAACACGAAAGTAAGTGAAGGCTTTCAGACGAAACAGGATCAAGGTAACAGAGGCACAAGAGCCCCCAACTCCCAGAAAATAATCGCACCCAGAGCTCTTACAGAAGCTCACTCTGGGGGCCACAATTGGAACCCCAGTAACAGAAAGAGCCCATGTCACATAGGCTTGCATTCCTGGAATGCAGCTCAATAAGACCAAAACTCTGAAAGGTAACTACAAAAATAATTTCTTAAATCTCAATTTAGAAATAAATACTAATAAGCCCAAGATATAAAAATGACAATTCTAAGACTGGGCGTGGTGGCGCACACCTGTAACCCCAGCATGGGGGTCTTAGGGGGGTGAAAATAGGAGGATCACTACAAGTCTGAGCTGCATAGTGAGACCCGGTACCAAATACATTAAAAAAAAAAAAAAAATTACAAGTGTAGGTTTCTCATTTGACAGAGTTGGTTAAACAGAATTTGGAAAGCTAACTCTAGTGTTGAATAATTTACCAGACAATAAGAAAAGTTGGTGTGGTATTGCTCACCTATAATCCCAGCACTATGGAGGAAAAAGCAGAAGGATTGCTATGAGTTTGAGACCAGCCTGGGCTACAAAGTGAGCTCAAGGCCAGCCTGAACTGAACTGAAATAGTGAGACCCTGTGTCACAAAAAGGATTTTATTTTATTTTATTTTATTTTTTTTATTTTTTTATTTTTTTGTGGTACCAGGGATCGAACTCAGGATCTTGTGCTTGCCATTCAAGCACTTATTCCAGCGAGCTATAAATAGCTCAGCAGATTAAAGCACCTGCAAGCAGGCGCAGGGGCTGGGGTTTGATCCCCAGGCCTACCGTGCCGGCCCCGCCCCCAGGGCGCACTGAGCCCACAACTGAGACGGGCGTGGTGGCACACGCCTGCAATCCCAGCTCTTGGGAGGCTGTAAACAGGCGGATCACTACAAGTCCGATGTAGTAGTGAGACCCTGAACACCCTGTGGACCCTTCCCTAAAATTAAAAAAAAAAAAAGTAAATGTTAGACTCGATGCTCACAAAGTCAGAAAAGGAACTGTGCTGCAAATGCAAAGCCAAGAGAAAAGCAGCAAACATAAAAGGGCGATTAGAGAGAACGGAGCCCCACGCCAAGCAGGATGAAGGAATACCAAACAGCAAATAATGATCAGTGAAACCAACAACTCGTTCTTCAAATACCACGCAACATATAAATCTATTGAAACAGCATGTTACCTCATTAGAATGCATAATTTTATTTTTTACGTAACAGTTAAAAAAGGAAAAAATCAGTTCTTAGAAAACAAGACTGCAAAAACTGAAATAGGAGAAACAAAGAAATGATACACCTCCAGGGGAAACAGCATGATAGGTTTGTTCAGACACAATGATTATGGCCAGGCAGCGCTGTCAGTGGGAATAACACAGTGGCAGAGAGAAGATATACACAGCAGACATATTTCTCAAAAAAGTAAGTCACATGTAGCATAAAAGTGGTGCTCTGTGCTTCCGCACGGCAGCAGGCCTTCGCCCAGGAAGGCTGGCCTGACTGGAGCGCTGCCGTCCTCTGCCACCTGCCCGAGCCCGGGTCCATCCCCAGCGAGCACGGCACAGCCACACTGCATGGGCCAAAGTGGCCGCACCGGCGGCTGGCACGGGGACCCGCGCGCCCGTCGCCCTGCTTTAGCGCGCCTGTCCTTCACTGGCGCCTGGTGAAGGAGAAATAACTCGGATAAGCACCCGGTCCCTGTCTTGGGTGCGCGCCAGCCCCACACTCCCGCCCTGTGTGCCATGGGGGCTGCTCTGCTTCCCGACCAGAAGGGGCGCCCCTGTTCCCACGCGCTGCTTCTGTTTTGTAGGTCTAGCAGAAGAGAAGCCTGAAGGGGACAAGGAGGATAAGGTCAGCGTGTGCGTGACGACCACGCCTGATGCGTGGCTCTGAAAGGTCCAGGCATCTTTGCCAGGCCATTTTTTTCATCCAAATTTAAGAGAAAAGGCAGTGGCCTCCCTCTCTCCTGGTTGCAGCTGAACTGTCCCGAGGCATAGACAGGTGGCTGGTGGTGGGGACCCTGACACCTCACGGCTGGGAGTCATTTCCATGCCAATGAGTGGGGTGGGAAGAAAAGGTCTAAGGAGAACGGAAATTCACTCAATTTAACTTGACTACAAATGTATCATTTTAAAGAAGTGGGGTAAAGAGTATTCTTCTACTTAAAGCCAGGGGGCTCCTCCTCTAAAATTAACAAAACCCCAAGGACTCAGATTTTTCTCCTACACAGAAACACGTACATACAGCGCATGTGCACCAGCACACTACAATTACTGGGGTGCTCAGTGACCCAGGAGCTGGCCACTCCTGGTCCTTATTTCTCAGCAGGCTGCGTGGGAGGCCCCTCCCCCCCCCTCCCCCCCCGTGGGCAGACAGCACATCCTCATCTCTGGGGACCTGAGGGACAGCAGAAGCTGCCCAAATGGCCCTGCCAGTCCCCGCAGTATCACCGCTGGGTCACACCCCTCAGCCAACCCTACTTCTGCAGGCTGTTTAGGTCTTCCTCAAACCGGGCACAGAAAGCGTACACACGGAGCTGGGCGGGCTGCACAGGGCTCTGGCCCTCCTCTCCAGAGGAGGCTGAGGCAGGAGGGGCGCACGTTCAAGGTCACACGTCTCAAAATAAGAATAAAGGGCTGGGGTGTGCTCGGGTGTTGCTAGAATGTCCCTAGCTTCCTTCCCTGTATCAAGAGCAAAATAAAACAGCTTTATTCCTTCCTTACAAAGGAAAACCATACCTGATTTTTTTTTTCCAAACATAGCATGTGAAACATACTGAAGTTCTGCTTCGTTGGACTTTTTCTGTTCCTGGCTTTGTTTTGTAAGAATCTGCATGTGTGTCACGGGCAGCCTTGGCCTGTGGGCAGCAGGCATCTCATTCCTGCTCTCGTCCCTGTCCCGCCCCCATCCCTTGATCTCCTTCCCATCTGAAGAAGACCTCTCTCCCTATCTCTTCTTACCAGTCGTTTTTTGTTTTTATGTTTGCTGCTTTGAGACCGTGTCTCAGTGTGTAGCCCAGGCTGACCTCGAACTCACCACAGCCTCAGCCTCTGAGTGCTGGCCTTCCAGGTGTGTGCTACTGTGCCTGGCTCCCAGTCTTTTATTTTCCTCTGTTTCTTACGTTTTCCTCTTGTCTGTCTTTAGTGGCAGAGCCTAGGCCAGGAGCCTAACATGGAACGGAAAGCTGCTTCTTTCCCCAAGCTGCTAGGACACGACAGTCAAGTGGCAGCAACTCTTATTTCAAGTGAGGGGCCGGCCAGATAGCTCAGTGGACTAAAGCACCTGCTTAGGCAGAGTGCAGCGGCTGGGGTTCAATCCCTGGCATGCTGTACCAGCCCCGCCCCTGGGGTGCTCTAAGACAGCGATTAAGACTGGGTGTGGTGGTGTGTGCCTGTAATCCCAGTGCATGGGAGGCTGAAAACAGGAGAATCATTACAAGTCTGATCTATGTAGTGAGACCCTGTAGACCCTGTACTAAAAAATAAATAAATAAATAAATAAAATCAGGTGACCCTCATGGCTTCCCACTTCTAAATGAAAATCAGAGCTGAGGCAAGCAGCCTACTTCCTCTGCACTGAGCTCTCCCCAGGACCCCAGCACGAGCATCGGACTGCAAGAATGGGCACGAGAGGTCTGGGCTCAGCTGAACGGTCGTGCTGGCTCTAAACGTGGACTGTCCAGCCCCAGGACAGGGTCACCCGCACAGGGAACCCCAGGCTGCTCGCAAGCTGAATCAAAGCACCGGCGCTTTCCCTGTCTAAGAAGACAATTTGATTTCTCCGGGAGGCCTCTGAGCTTCCTACGAGCACAGGCAATCGGGGGTTGCTAAGGAACAGAACCTTCCTCTAAGACAAAACCTAATTCAATCTCTGCCCAGGATTCAA